AATACTTGTTTAACTACTGTCGTTTAACAGTCTGAATACTTGTTTAAATACTGTTGTTTAACTGTCTGAATACTTGTTTAACTACTGTCGTTTAACAGTCTGAATACTTGTTTAAATACTGTTGTTTAACAGTCTGAATACTTGTTTAATACTGTTGTTTAACAGTCTGAATACTTGTTTAATACTGTTGTTTAACAGTCTGAATACTTGTTTAACTACTGTTGTTTAACAGTCTGAATACTTGTTTAACTACTGTCGTTTAACAGTCTGAATACTTGTTTAACTACTGTTGTTTAACAGTCTGAATACTTGTTTAAATACTGTTGTTTAACATTATCGATACTTATTGGTATTTTAATATCCTTTGTTCCTGTCCAATTAACTGATTTCATTGGATACCTCTCCCCCAATCTTAGTAATTTTGTATATACAGAATCAAACCTCTTCTAGTTCACTGACAAGCCGGAACAGGCACTTTTATATGCATGGTCAATATAAACATTTCGCTCGATATTTGCCAGCTGCGGATGCTCGGCATGTTAGATCATTGATTGCGTTTATAGATTTGATGGTCATTCTGTGAAGATAAAGTTTGGAATATTCGCGTAGTTATACAAGTGCTGTCTGGACTATCCATCCAATATTTTGAACTGGTAAACTTGAGGGAAGAGCATCTAATAAACAATATCTGCCGCAGTTTCTGATCAAATAGTGGAATTTGACTGTAGGTCCTAAAACATATCCACGGCTGCAAAATGCTGAGCGCGATTTTGTGTCATCGGGACGCGAACTTCAGACCGCCGGACCCGCATTCCAGCATGCTAGCAACTAGACCATGCCCGGCCCTATCTTTTTTTGTTAAGGCGAATTTTGAAAAGGCAATATATTGTTATTATAAACGTCTGGAACAATTACCGTTGTAAACACTTGTTTTACACACACATAATGATATAGCTTTCTCTCGCAGAGCACGAGGAAGAAACCTACTTGTCTGAAATCTTTTAAGATATACAAATAAAATCAGCTAGTTTTACAACTTTTTCGTTGTCTGTAACAATTATTATAATAAAACGTGTAGTCATTTAACTGGCTTAACATTTTGTCGTGAAGATTTATAAAGAAGGCAAGGACAACGAGTACCTATAAGTTTCAACTAGTTTAGTGTCTCTTGGAATATCAGTTACTTGTTTAATGTCTGAAGTTAAAGCAGGAAAAACAAGACAATATATATGTATCTATTTTTGTTTTAGTTATTTTCCTGCTTTAACTTCAGACATTAAACAAGTAACTGATATTCCAAGAGACACTAAACTAGTTGAAACTTATAGGTACTCGAAGGACAATGAGTACCTATAAGTTTCAACTAGTTTAGTGTCTCTTGGAATATCAGTTACTTGTTTAATGTCTGAAGTTAAAGCAGGAAAATAACTAAAACAAAAATAGATACATATATATTGTCAGAACAACGAGTACCTATAAGTTTCAACTAGTTTAGTGTCTCTTGGAATATCAGTTACTTGTTTAATGTCTGAAGTTAAAGCAGGAAAAACAACGAGTACCTATAAGTTTCAACTAGTTTAGTGTCTCTTGGAATATCAGTTACTTGTTTAATGTCTGAAGTTAAAGCAGGAAAATAACTAAAACAAAAATAGATACATATATATTGTCAGGACAAC